GTACACATGAGTATCTCTGATTTTGTTTCTCTAGTCAACCCAGCGTGACACATCTGGTTCAATATCTTCCCTCCATGTCTGGTTCGCGTCTTCCCTCCATGTCTGGTTCAATGTCTTCTCTACATGTCTGGTTCCAGAACACTGGTGACATTCTTCACCATGGGTCACAGTTTTCACCATCTCTGCCCATGTGGTTTCAACCCCATTGACCGGGACTCCTGCCCGGTACACTCTTCCTCTGTGCTGTAGAGTGACCGTGGACCCTTGGGACTTATAGAAACATATCTTTCCAAGAACAGTCTTAACTCATTTAACTAAACAGCTACTTGGTTGAAAAATGACTCCAGGACATCATTACATTATTTCAGTGGGTGGTATGAAGATCTTCTTGGGGTGAGAGATCGGAGGGGGAGATCACACCAGACTCAGTTGGTCCAGTAAGTCTGGATTCTATACACCTTTGCAATTCTGTGTCACAGTGCCCCCCCATTTTGTCCTCTCACTGCCACGGAGTCCATGCTGACTCATAGTGACCCCCTGTGGGTTTCCGAGACTGTCACTGTTTATGGGAGTGGAAGGCCAGTCTTTCTCCAGCAGAGCTCCTGGTGGTTTCGAACTGCAGACCACGCAGGTAGCAGCCCGATGCTAACCACGATGTCACCAGGGCTCCTATCCCATTCTGACCACGCCTCCTCTATTGACTGACGGGTCCAAGCATTCCGGATGTCTCTGGTCCTGTCCAGGGTCCTCTCTGTCAACTTCTCGCCATCCCTTAGGAACATTGTCTCCGTTTCTCTTCCCATCTCTCGGTCCCCTCTTTCCCTCCCCCTGCCCTCCTTTCTTTGGTTCCCCACCCCTGCCTTGCTTCATCTTCCTGTCTCCTCCTCCTCCTCCTCCACCTCTCTACATCTAGTCCCACCTCAGTGTCTCTCCCCATCAGGCTCCTTGGGTTTCACTGTCTCCCCAGAGGAGCCTCTCGACCATCCGTCCACCTTGACCTATCTCCACCTCCGTCTCCTTCCGCTCCATGCCCCAGCTCTCTCCAGAACCATCTCCCCTTTTCTCCATCTCTCCCTCTTCACCTCCTCGCCCGCCCGCCTGCCCTCCGTCTTTCCACCTCCACTGATTTCTCTCTTGTTTCTCCATTCTTCTTTCTCTTCTGCCCCGGGGCTGCCCCGGGTCTCTCTTTCCCTATGTCTCTGCCTCTCTCCATCTCTGTATTGCTATGTCTCTCCTCCTATCTCCATCTCCATCTCTGCCTCTCCATCTCTGCCTCTGTCTCCACTCCATCGCTCTGTGTCTGTGTTTCTCTGTATCTCCTCCTCTCCCTTTCTTGAGGTCTGGTCCCATCTCTCTGTTGTGTCTCTGCACCTCTCTCCCCATCCATCTCTCCAGCTCCCTCCCACTCTCCCGGTCCATCCATCCATCCCCCATCTCTTCTTTGCTTTCTTCTTTTTTTTACTTCTGGTCTCAGAGTCCTGTAGGATGAGGCTCACGCGGTCCCTTACCCACTTAGGCTAATTTGTCTCCTTCAGAATCGGATTTTCTTGACTCTTTTTGGCTTGGGACCAAGCTAAACTCACTGCCACAAAGCACAACTGCCCCCTTTGCGTGTCCAAGGTTGCCAGCCTTTTAGGAAAGCAAACAATCTCGTCTTTCTCCCCTGGAGCTGCCAGTGAGTTCAAACTGCTGACCTTGCAGTCCGCAGCCAGATGGGTCACCAGCTACGCCATCAGGGCTCCTTGGTCAGAGGCCCCCTACATGGTCACTCACAAACTCTTAAGATGCCAGTCACTACTCACCCAGGTAGCACTCCAGAGACTGTCTCCGGTGGGCTATGCTGGCGTGTCCAATGACTTTGGCGTCCCCTGAGGCTGAGGTCTTGGGCCCCAGGCCTGGAGCTGTTGGGT